CAGCACAGAAGCCAAGGAGACAGCGCTACAGAAGGCTGAAAGAGACGCGAAGCCTTCCAAAACTGTCGAGAAGGCCGCTTGTTTGCACTCAAACCGACACGAAATCAACCTGCATCCCCGCCGATGTCCTGAGAACTGGAGAGCTTCCTTAATTTGCTGCGCACTCTTCGACTTTTTTGAGCATCCGGCAACTGAGGTCAAAGCTTCCTCTAAACCAGCCTCTTCTGAGACGACGACGAAGGCAGCAGATGCCAAGGCAAATCCAAAACACAAAGAAGAGGCGCCGAAGCCTTCTCAGCTGGGTCTGGCACTGTTGCGTCCGTAGGCGTGGATCAATGTCAAAAGCATGTCTTGCTGTCTGGATAACTGGTGCATTTTATCATATGGCGGCGTTTCTTGAGGGATCTCAAATCATCGTGTGCAGGAGAAGGTTTCCACCCAAACGAAGAGGTCTGGCAAAAGCAAGGCAAAGGAAACAGCAGCACAGAAGGCCAAAGGTGACACGAAGCCTTCCAACACTGTCGCGACTGCTGCTTGTCTGCACACAAAGCGACATCCAAGCCGAACAAGTGAATCTATTGCTGTGGTAATTTGATTTGAGATCATTCGTTGCATGTCGACATCCGTTTCGGAGTAGCAGCGTGAGGCGTCCAAGGAGAAAGCGGAAAGCGACACGAAGCCTTCCAAAACTGTCAGGACGGTCGCTCTTCTGCACGCACCCGTCACGAAACTAACCTGCATCCCAGCCGACGTGGGAGAACGTGTTTAACTTGCTGCACACTCTCTGGAGCATCCGGCAGCTTAGGTCAAAGCTTCCTCCAAGCCAACTGCGTCAGCCTCCTCTTCTAAGAAGACGAAGGCAGCAGATGCCACGGCCAAGCCAAACATCGAAGAAGAGGCGTCGAAGCCTTGTCATGTTTTTGGCGCTGTTGTGGCTTTGTTCGTGCATATTGTGTGGGCATGTGTGGGCATCAAAACCGTGCTTCCAGGAGGCAGCATCCAGCCAAACGAAGAGCTCCGGCAGCTCTGCAAAAACGGATACAGCAACACAGAAGGCAGAAAGTCAAGGAAAGCGTTCCAAGACTGTCCCGTCTGCTGCTTCTCTGCACGAGATAACCCTAACCCTCCAGGTACCTACTATATAGGGTACTAGAGAACCTGGGGCCCTATATAGTGGGTACCTGGGGGGTTAGGGTAAGCTTCGTTAACCTGCAGAGGCCTACTTTGAATGTGTTGCATTGCTCGATCTGTTGCCGAGCATCCTCTGGCAATTGAGGGCAAAGCGGCCGCCAAGACCCGCCGAGCGAAAGAAGCGAAGCCGAAAGATGCTGCGACAAAGCAGAAGGGGGAAAAGCAGATGCCGCAGTCTTCTGAGGCCAGCGGCCAGGCTATATGTATGGTTCAGGCTAGCGATGTGAGCTTTGTTTTGGAGGCAACTCCTGCAAGCTAGTTCCCGTACTGATTTTTCTGGCATGTCACCATGCCCAACCTACTACACAACCAAAAAGGGGCAAGGCTCAACACAAGCAAGGGAAAGCCGCAGAAAGCCTCAAGTCACCACGAACCTGTCCAGCACAAATACATGAGTGTATGTATATATATATATATATGTATGTCTATGTACTTTTTGTAGTTCGCTGGTCTCATCATTCCCTCAGACCTTCCTCGCAGGAAGCGGCGGCTGCATCCGCCAAGGGGCCGCCAATTGTCACGACACCTGGCTCGAGGAGTGTGGAGCGCGAAGCCTCCACCGCAGCCTGCGAGCCGCAGACCTTCGCGTACAGCGGGAGCTTCGAGGCGGATGTCCAGCAGCTGGGGCGACGTTGGCAACTTTTCCTTTTCTCGTGTTTGAGTGTTGTTGGGTAGGTTTGTGCTAGTTGCTTTGGTATTCTGGTTAGTGCCGCGTTTGCTGTTTATGCTGCAGTTGCTTCTTGTTTTTGTTTGATTATTTGTTAGATGTTCCCTGCACCAGCATTTACATCAACAGTCACATTGTCTTATATGTATGCCCTGCAATTGTTATGTCTTCAGGGTCCGCCTGTAGTGATGCGAAGGCTAGGCATATATCTTGCCAAGGTAGACGGGTGGACGGTAGACTAATATAAGAATACTTCAATTTTCGGGGGGGGGGGGCACCTTCTCGTATGTATCGGTCGGACGGTAGACATCAACCTTCCGCCTTCAAACACATTTGTCAGTGCATGTCGGCATGCATGTCAAACGCATGCATGCATTGATGGGTGCATATGTATGTATGCAGGTAAGGAATGTATGTATGCAGGTCTATAGGTAGGGAATGGGCAATGGCATGGAAGCACATGCGATAGGTATGTGTGGTATGATGTATTGGTTCGGATGCATGTATGTACGTGTATTTGTGCGTAGGTATGTATGTATGTAAGTATGTATGTACGTATGTATGTATGTATGTATGCATGTAGGTATGTTGTGCGTGTAGCACCATGTAGCTCTAGATCTGTGTGTTTGTGCTGCTTCGTACAGAAACAAGAGACTTGCGGGAGCACAAAAACGGCATGCGGCTTAGTGCCTCCGTATAGATTTGCATGGCGTGTGTCCCTGCGAGCGCACATTGGCATGTACAGTCCCAAAGCTATCTAAGCCTCGCTTAAATCAGCCTGTCGCTAGAGAGGAAGATCTTGGCTGGCGCAGTCATCGCGGAAGACATCAGCACTTGCGGAGACAGCTCCTCCAAGGTTTCGGCGATCTCTGAGGACACGGCGCCACATACCCCATGTTGCGATGTGTGGGTAGACTCCACGGAACGAAGACTGGATCTGTCGGCTGCTGATCGGTTCTTGATACATCGAGGCAACGTGAAACTCCTGCGGTGCAGTACGTGACATGGACGGTAATGTCTGAAGATTCCGGCTCTTGCGCTAGCCTGCCGATTGAAAAGGCACAAGCCTAGGCCACGTGTGTGCGCGCGACAGAGGACGGTTTTTTCGAGAGAGTTCCTTGGCTTCGGGGGCATGCAGAGGGCATGACAGTAGGTTCGGGCTCCCGCTGTTTAACGATGGTCGGTCGGACGAAACCCTTGATCGCGGTACTCTCGAAGGTTGTTTCGCTTGATCACATTCGCGCTTGTTACGACAGGAGCCTCTTCAATGCGCATGCGCAGACCGAATCTCGAACCTGAAACCCCTCTTCTTCCAGGACGCGGCTAAGAAGGGGAAGGCTGCTGAGAAGAAGGCCGCACAAATTCTCTGCACCTGTCGGGTTGACAACAAGAATCCGGGCTTAGGGCAGTGTTCGTGAGCCAATCAAGAGCTGCTGCTGCCACGACTGCGCTGCTCCAGTCCCACGTAGCGAAGGGCTACCAGGTGCTCGTACTTATTGTTACTACGTCTGCTGCTGCTCTTGCTTCTTTCTTGCTACTGCTTGCTGCTACTGATAATGCTACTCCCGCACTACTGCCTACTGCGTAGTGCCAACTATCTATTTCTCACTAGGACTCACCACCACCACCACGACGAAGACGACGGCGACTACTGCTAGTACTCTTGCTGCTGCTGCTGCTGCTGCTACTGCTGCTGCTACCGCTACCGCGATTGCTACTACGACGGCGACTCTCCAACTACCACTGCCGCCGCCGCCACCACCACCACCACCACCACCACCACGAAAACAGCTCCTTACAAGAACAGTTTGAGAGGTAGGTTTGGTTTGGCGGCTCTCAAGCTTTGACCAGCATAGCAACATGGCATAACGAGCTGGTTCTGCTTCACCCAAGCTTAAGAAAGTATGCAGCAGAAAGTAGGCGTAGGAGGTTCAGGGTCAGCAGCAACAGAAGGCCGTTGGAAGGAAGCGCGGACCTTTTGACGAAGTCCCAAATTGAAATAATGGTGACCATGCTGCTGCTCTTCCTTTTGCGGACAGTGTTGTGCCGCTGCACTACCACAGCCAAGGCGACGGCTAAACTTTACAAGGACGACGACTTGTCATAATGCTCGTATTATTTCTATTCTACGACGAGGACGACGGCAAAGGAAACTGCAACAACAGAGGCACCGACCGCAACCTGAAGTAGAAGCTATCATCGTTGTTTTCATCTTTCTCGTTTTACACTCTGTGCAAGGCTGAGTGTGCGTTTCTTATCTCGATTATTTGCATTGGGGTTGGGTCATGATGGCTTTATCGAATGGAACTGTGGAGGCCCAGGCGACGGAGGAACATCTGGAGTCATTGATCGAGAGGAAGATCAACCTTATTGCTGTGGCAGCTGGCGTCTTAGACGTTCCGGGAGTGCTCTCATGTAGGCACTTAGGCTGGGCTGGACACATGCTCGATGTCAACCTATGACTGGATTCGAAAGTTGCCGGCCGTGCAAATTTTGTGTGCGCAGCGTCACGAGGTCGTGGGTGATCTCCATCGCAATGGTCACATCCAGACTGTGCTTGAGACTCAAGGGCTCAAGGAGCATCTTCCCAGGAGCTATGCTCGAATTTCTGAGGCTTGGGCTCCCAACGGCTACGCAGATTCACAAGAGCCTGGAGGGAAGCCTCCGCGAGAGCAGAAGCGAAATGAAGCCACAGACAGTCGTCAAATTCCAACATTATGTCATGCAATTATCACACTTGAAACACCTTGGTCGCCGACATGTAGTAATCATGTTGCCTGCCCATTCCCAGCTGGTGCAGGATATGAGCTTGGGCAAAAGAGCAATAAGCATCGCAATGAGCCTCGCAATCGCTGAATCCCAAAACACTGGTCGGGGGACTAAGTAAGTAGTTATGTTACAGACTTTCAGCAACCATAACCCCAATGAGGGTCCCTTTTGGGGTCATTATGACTTATAACCCTGAGCCTTCCGGCTTTGTGCCCTGAGGCTCGTGGCAGAGGTGGAGAAGGGTAGAGCTTCAACTTTTGTCTCCGAGGAGCTGCGTCGCTCTGGGCCTTGAAACGGGTTACTTAGGGGTACGTAGAAATAATGTTTAATCTTTGGTTATTATAAACCCTAAGAAGCAGCTAAAATTGCAATTTTTGCTAGGGGTCTAAGTTCAGTATAGGTTAAGGGATGGGTCACATTTTAGGGTTCTGCCATGGTCTCAGTGGACTTGATCTTCGGGGCTCTATGCTTTCGGATTTAGGGCCATTTAGGGTCTCAAGACCTCGTTTGTCTCGGTTTTAGGTTGTTTGGTTTTGTGCTTGAATGTTTTCCTATCATGAGCTGTCGGTATTTCACTGTTCCTGAGTTCTTGATCACGGCGATAATGTCCACGCGATGCCAGGGTTCATACTAGCAGTAGCGACCGCAGTAGAGGCCACGTTGTTTCGATCATCGTCGTGGAGCGGTTGGGTTGGCGTAGCAGTTGCCGCTGGTGCTGCTGAATGGGAGAGGTTGCTAAAAAAGACGTTGCTGTTGTGAGGTGTTGTCGTGGCAGCACTGCAGCAAGCCAGAATAGATTGCAAGACTAGCGTTTGGCAGGACTTGCTCAAGGGAAGCAAGGCCCGGGCCGTGCTTTTTTTTTGCGATATCAACTGGGACTTGACACGCGCTTTACTGGGCTATTTGTTGCAATGATCGTTTCTTGGATGGGCCTCTGACGATGGGCCAAAACCAGGGCGTGGGCAAAGGTGTGATGATCACCGGGACACCGACTTCCAGAGGATGTTGCAGCGTGTTGAGTTGAGTACCACTACCACTACTACCGCCACCCCATGCCAACGACGACGAGGACGACTATCACCACTACGACCAGAAGGACCACCAATAGGACGACTACCACGACTGCCACAACCACTACCACCACCAGCACCACCACCGCCAGCACCAGCACCACCATGACGACGACGACGACTACTACTACGTCGACGACAACGGCGACTATTACTACCACCACTGTCACTACCACTACCATTACAAACTACTACTACCATTACGATACTACGGTTACTATTACTACTACTATCACTTCTACGACGACTACTACTATTACACTACCACCACCACTACTACTACTCCTACTAGTACTACTTCTTCTGCTACTACTACTACTACTACTACTTCTAATTCGGCTGCTGCTACTACTATTACTACTACCTACTCCTACTCCTACTGCTACTGCTTCTGCTGCTGCCTCTGCTGCTGCTGCTACTACTACTACTCCTCTTCCTGGTACTGCTACTCCTGCTGGTTCTACTCTTAGGGGCTGAGTAGGTAACCTTTAACCTTTTGGGGCTTATATAATCCTACTATAACTCGAAAGGTTAGCTTTTTTTGGGCTAAGGTACTCAGCCCCTAAGTACTACTACTACTACTACTACTACTCCTACTACTACTCCTACTACTACTACTACTACTACTACTGCTACTACTACTACTACTACTCCTACTACTAGTACTCTACTACTACTACTACGACGACTACTACTACTACGACTACTACTACTACTACTACTACTACTACTACTACTAGTAATACGACTACGACTACTACTGCTGCTGCTGCTATCATGACAACTACCGTAAGAAGCCCGTGCTGCTGCAGCTGTGGGCTGGCAGGCCCAAGCAGCGCTGAAGGTGCTCCTGGAGGCTAAGGAGGTGTCACAGAAGCAGTCACTGTGTGTGTGTGTGTGTAACAAATTAAGTTTGTCTACACCAACAATTGAAGAAGTACATACATATGTTTTTATGTAGATGTATGCACATACCACACAGAGACGGGTATGTACGTACGTCAGTGTATATATATATATATGTATACACACGAACAGTGATACATTTACGCATGTATGTATATATATATATATAAAAACTCTTAACCCTCGCCTGCTTGTCAAGTGCGAGTGCTAAGTATATATATATATATGTGTGTGTGTGTACACGCCTACACACATGCGTATATATTCATACACATATCTTTGCTACCACCCCCCGTCCAAAGTCCACTGAATCTCTTGGCTTAGGATAAGTTCCGAAAGTATAGGTATCATGCCACACCGCCAAAGTGATGTCAAAGCTTCATTTATATACGAAAAGCATGTTTCCGCACCAAGATCGTCATCGTCATGTGCATCATCATGATCATTAGTTCCTTGTCAAGAGCGTCATCGCCGGTATTCTTCCACTAGATCTATGCAAATATGTTTGGTTCACCACGTTCTTTTGCATGGTTTAAACTTGTGCATTATGCTGTTTACTTGAATGCCCAGCTCGACGAACATGTTTCCTACCTCTTCAACATCATGCCATCCTCTCATGCAATTAACTGAGAATCCGCAATTGGTTTGCAATTGGTTACCATTCAGTATGTACATTGTGTTTACCCGTTGTTTCAGGATTCTAGGGTGGTGTATAAAATATTTGCTTGTTACCTTCTAGTATCGAGCCAGACCAGTACAAGAATGTCCAAAATCGTAAAGTTGTCGTCTAAACCGAGGAGCATGTTTACACTAGTAGCTATTTGATGCACATTCAATCAGCGACGCATCGGCTCACATTCAACGCTTTGCGCTGACAAAACAATCTTTGTATGGTGTATAACAGATAGTTTGTATCGATCTGTCTATCTGTTTATCTACCTGTCTATCTATCTATCTATCTATCTATCTATCCGTCCATCCAGCCAGCCATCCTTCCTTCCTTTCTTCCTTCCTGCCTTCCTTCCATCCTTCCTTCCGTCTACTAGTATCTATGTATCTGTCTAATCGTCTAATCGTTTATCTATCTATACAGGTTTCTTTACGTGCTTGTACTTGCCAGTCTACGTAAAGTCATAGAGTCTGTGCAGTGGTAACATACTCTCGGCTAATGAGCTGGGGGAGCTTGCTTTGTGTGCTTTTCGTCGGACCGGAGCCTCGCCTGCTTTGTCGAGTGTGAGTATGGCGCGTTATGGAGATGTTTCAGAGAACATCACCATAAGTTGTCCCATTGCGTTCTAACGTATCTACCGAGTGATCGTTTGGGAGTCTGCATGAGTTGAGAAGTCCGCCTTGCCACCAGATTTTGCAGCACTTGCTTAATGCCATTGGTTCCATGCTGAACAGGTGGTGAAAGTTATGCACGATTGTCGGATGGCTGCGGATGCCCTCCAGTCGTTGCCTGCCTGTCCTGTTTGGAACCCATCGGCTAGCATGACGCATGCTCCGGCCCAGCACTTGTTGTGCTATTCTGTGTGTGACTTCTTGCATGCTGCTATTGCATCCGATGACAGCCACGAGCAGGTTGGATATTCAGCTGCCAGGACCTCGATCCGGTCGGATTTGCGTCCCGAAGAGCGAAATGCCCGGCCGCAGCCCAGGTGCAGCGTATTCGACACAGCCATTGCCTGGCAGATGCTGCAAGACACGGACCGCGATGCAGCAAGCTATGGCCTAATGGCATCGCTGAACCTATAACCGTGGACAAGAGTATTGTATTTGTAACATCCACATGTTTGGACTGCCCTTTCCTTCTAGCTCGGTAAGCTAGCTAGGTCTTCGGTCAGGCTCTGTTCCCAGTCTTCTTGCCCATCTCCCGTAGCCTTCGCTTGGCCAGAGCAGGTCGGAACATATTTTGACACAGATCGCTACCGAATTTTCGTGAAACAAGCGGCACTGGTCAGGCGACAGCTACTGACTAGCGGTCACACCAAGTGGAAACCCGCCTAAGCAAATATCAAGCCTGCATTGCCCGTTTTTGTCCTACCCCATGTGTGGAACCCATGCAGGATCCATCAGCTTCGTCTAGTACGGAGTCCACAATACTTCCAGCGATGTGCTCGGATTTGAGATGCTTTGCTTCTTCTATTCTGTCGCATGCAGTGTGCGAATCTCTTCCATTATACATGCAACGACGCCAATCCAAGTATACAGAGATTATGCACACATGTACATTTGCGGGTGTTTGTATCTTCACACGGGGGCAGTTGTTACGTGGAAACGAAGCATATGTGTTTGTTTGCTAGCCTACTTTCCAAGCTGTGTCGGTGCACAAGCCACTCGAACCGACCTAGAGGATCACGGGATTTTGTAAGTAGGTTGTAAGTAAGGTTCTAGGTCCCGGGATCCTCCAAGTAGTACCTCAGCAAGTGTCGCCAGCTGCTGCAGAGGGTTTTCAGCTTCAAGATGCCTGGAGGATGCGGGTTTTCCTTCGCGAGAGTTTTTGATCCTCGTGCGAGGATTTAAGAGCCCTGACAGCCGCAGCTTGCTTCAGACAGGGGCGTTTGTTTATCTGTTCGTCTCTGCCGCTCTGTTTCGTCCGTCCGCATGTAGTGCAAGTCTGGATATTGATCATGTGTGTGTGTGTGTGTGTCTGTGTGTTCACATGTTGATCATGATCCGTGTCATTGCTGATGGATTTGCCTGATATTGTGTTATCATTGATATCATGTTATATGTTGTGTTCTATTGCAGTATGGTACATTTGTCTATCCGGTTCCATCCCAATATCGTGTATTGCATCATTCAGGCAGAAGAGGTGCGAGTGAGATGTGTCGAGATAAACCTACGACCTACGATGCATGCAATCTTTCTCCAGGCCTCAAGCTAAAAAGACGAGATAAGACACGGCAATGTGGGGCCAAGCTGGCCCGGCAGCATCGCTCGCAGATCTCGATGCAATGAAGAATTTAAAAACCCAGCATCTCAACTGTGAGCAACCGCACGGCCAAGATCCTGCAGAAGTATGCGCCCTTAGCCTTCAAGGAGATGCAGAAGGCTTGGACCTCAGCATTGCAGCTGGACGGTAGCACACTGCGCTCCCGAGGTTTTGATAGTTGGGGTTGATGGTCGCCTGGTGTTCTTGTCGGTCGAGGGTTTCATGTGTAGCTCTAGTTGGGATCCTTGGCCCGCCACCTTCTATCAATAGGCGGGATCAGCAGGTAAGTAGACATTTAAACTGAAAGCCGCTTTCCCGGTCTGCATGTTAAGCACTTGATAGCCGTAATCTCTCTAATCTCTCTATCATCATGCGCATCTGAGGGTGGGAGGCAACAGATGGGCTCATGTGGTCTCTTCTGAGGTGCTGCCCCCGCAGAAGAAGACGCTTCCCAAGCCCGAGCAGGCCATCTTTGACGTGCTCGGTCTGTCAGATGCCCAGATGTGGGAGTTTCCGAAAATTGGGGGTACCTTATTTTGGGGTCCTTATAATAGGGATCCTATTATTGAGGGTACTATATTAGGGTCCCCCATTTTCGGAAACCCCCATGTGCAAAAGGTGTTAATGCGGCAATTATCCGTGTAGTAGTGTAGTTGATCATCGGAGGGCTCCGGGCAATAGTGCCCTGCCCTCGACACTCATTACGGGTTTAAGACCACAGTGCCAGTTGTCTCAGGCCCTTCGTTGCATGGTGAACACGAAGGGAGTCACTACAGATTGCAACCTGTACTCGTCGGCAGAACACAGACTCATCATCGACTGAGGAGAGATGAGGTTACGCCTGGTGCTCAAAGGGACGGCAGCGGTACTGTAAAGTTTAGTATACCGTGCTGGGCATGTTGCAGGGTTGCACTGGGGCGTAATTTCCCGCAGGCCCAGCATTGAACACGTGCAACATGCTCAAAGATCCTCTTGGCGACAGTGCGACAGAATGCGGTCATGTGTGGTTATCAAAATGCCAGTGGGTTGCACGTCGAGGTCTGATTTGCTTTCTGACGATGTAAGAGAGGTCCACAGCGATTGCGGGGGAGAAGCACGAGGCTCTTCAGCAGCAAGACCTTCAACCTTGCTTTCAATGGCAATGTCAGAAGTATATGTTTCGATATGCATGTAAACCTGATATGCATGGAAATCCTAAGTTAAGATCTTGTTATCGGGCCCCTGAACGGGATCCCACTTTGTTTTGTCTCCTAAATTCAATGGGCCTGTCACGTTTTGGGAGGTGGGGTTGAGGTGCGCGACTCTTTTTCGACCTGCAGGCAGAGATGGCTGAAGTTTGGGAGGTGAGCTGGAGCTGTCCTGCTTTGCACTGTGTTTTGGCTCCTGGCCAGGCAAATTCGGTAGCGAAATACAGAAAAATCGTGATGAGTACACCCCCCCCTCCCGGGACGAGATGTCGTTCCTTACGGCCATCAGTCAGACCCCCTAGCCGACTCCAATGCTAGTTTCGTTGTTCCGATAGCTCATAGTGACCATGTTTCCTCTGCGATTGAGCCACATAGGGCTGCTGAGCTGGATGGCGGCAGGCTGACGGCTAACCCCATCCCGTTTCGACCCGACCCAACCCTACACCGTAAGCCCTAACCCCCAACTTCACCTCGCTTCTGAAGCCCTAAGCCCGCAAGTGAGGACCCGGCACTGAAAACAAGCACCTACACAGGAATGTCGAGACATGTTTCCTGTCCATGGTGCACCCGTGCAAGCGTCATATTCTCATCGGTAACCAGTGTTTCTTGTGATCCATATCCTGATGTGTACTAGTATCAGATTATCAGAATAGGCCCCTTCTCTGAAGAATGTTTACACTCTGGAAGCTCGCTGAAGAGTTGCCTGCCTGCGGGGCCTCGCTTGAAACGTCATGTGTCTTGCTTTCACAGTGTACATCACCGTGCAATCCTGGGTAATGTGCTGACTCGGTGTTGCTGCCGCTGGCTTCCAAGGGGGGCTGTGGTTAAATCAGGCCCATGCGCCCTGCGCTTCCTCAGCCTTCTTATCCTTGCAGCTTGCAGCACGACCCAGTGAGCCAGCAGGTGAGGCGAGCAACAAAATCTAAACCCCAAGCCCTTGCATGCATGAGCTTTGACACCCCCCCCCCCCCCCCCCCCTGCATGCGAAGGCGTCCTGGGCATTGTCCATCAGGAGCCGGACCACACCTTTCACCAGAGCTCTGCTTGCACTGCGGGGTCCTTCTTGGGGAAGGCTATGCCCTTGGGGTTGTCGGACAGCTGACTGTAAAGCATCTGAGGACATCTCCGCAAGCGACGATTTCGACGTTGAGCCTAGCCTGCACTGGGCACAGGCGCATGACTGAGGCCCCAGGCCGGCTTTGCCAGTGATCATTTGGAGGTGCTTCCGTCGGTCGTCAGGTTCCTTTTTTGTGAACTCGTGGCTGCTGCAGTCCTTCGTTCTTCAATCAGTCCCACCCATCCCACCTCGCTCTGCTGTGCACTTACCCATTCAAACCAGGACCCAGTCACATTGACTAGGACCGCAGTACGACCCATGCAACTTTGACAGACATGACTTGAGATGACTCTGGAAGCAATCAATACTGTAGAAACATGGCCGACATGCAGGGCTCGCAGCCCGAGATTCAACAAGGTTCTTTGCATCTCGGGCAGCCGAACGGCCAACCCTGCATGTCGGCCAGCCACTTCCCATCATGTCGCTGCTGCTGCTTCGGTGACGACGCTTTGCTACAACCGATGGCACCAGAAACACACAGTACAAGCCCAGCAATCAGGCAGCATGCCGCTTCCGCGCGCATCGGCAAGTCACAAGTACAGGCCTAGCCGCCGTTCGTGTCAGCTCTGGCTTGTATTGCAAGTGTGAGGTGTTGCATGCTGGGACTGTTCCATTGTCTGAGAATCAGCACTCAACAGGGACGCTCGGAGCCGAATCAAAGAAGCCGGCGCAGGAGACAAGCTTTGAATCCTTCCTTCAGCAGATCGGTGCAGTGGCCTTGATTTCAACTTGTGCCATTAGCTGCCTGGTCCTGAAGAAGGGCTTGCAAGAGAAGGACCTGCCATGCTGTAGTCATATTGGGACCATGTCTTCTTCCCATCTGTTCTAGGATGAAATTACAGCTTGCACAGCACAGAAGAGACGAAAGCAGGTGACGTGAGAACATGGGGCTCCCGGGGCTTCAGACTTCAGAGGAAAAGTTGACCAACATATACCTGAGCTACACTTCGGGCGAAAGCTTCGAGAGACGATTGAATGCGAGTCGAACATCGAGAGCCATCAAGAACAGCTGCTGCAGTTGTAAGAACGTGCTTTCGATATCTAATCAAATCGACACCTGACGTCTTTTTTGAATGCTGTTTTATGTAGAATTCCTGCATGAGGTCGGAGCACAGTAGGACAGTCCTCCACAGCCCATATAGGGTGGCCAAACGAAGGCCTTCAGAACTTCCCCGACTTGGTCTGCCAGTCTCAACTCGGGTCTTGTGAGGAGCACGCAGTTCGCATTGTGAAGAGTGCAAGTCTGGGGCAGCTGGGCGTCCTGCTTACAGCGCTTGCGGCGCTCCTGACGGCCCTGCGCTAAGAGCTCCTTCCCGCGGGCTGTCGGGCTTGGAGAGCTTGAGGGTTGTCCGGTGAAGTGCTTAGAAGTTCAGTGGTTGAAGAGCTGTTTCGGGCTTTTCGAGGCAGTACTGTAAGGTGCAGTCAGGTCTCCAGTCGCGAGACTTGCTTGAGCATTTGGCGTTGACCATGAGCACGCCGTGTAGATTGCAAGCATTCGATAGCTCGAGAAGCACCACCAAGATTTAGGAAGTATGTAGATGGCTACATAAGCTATCCACTGCACCAACTGTCGTTCTCTAGACTTTTGGAGAGGAATGAAGGATGCGCGACTAAAGTCACGTCCTGGTCTGTGGGTTTATGGATTGCTGTCGGGCACTCCAGCATCAGCCGCGTGCTATCCGCATTCTTGCGCCAATAGCAGTTGCACAGCTTTGTTTTCGTCCCCTGCCAAGCACGTCCTGATTTGGCTCAGGCACTTTGTATCGATGTCCCGGCCTATGTGAACCTGGGACCAGATATGGCCAAAGGGGTGCTAAGATGGCTTACTGTGGCTGTTGTAGCTTTAACGTTCAGGATTTAAGGTTGTAGGTGTTCCATCAAGCCTGTGTAAAAAGGGTTGTAGGTGTTCAGCAACTCAGGCTGGATGCAAAAAAAAGGTGTTCTTGTTCAGGTGACACCGTGTTGACCCAGTCCCTCCAAGTCCTCCGAGGTATGTCTTCCTGATGGGAACAGCTTGGAACATCCATTCGCATTTGTGACGATGAGATTCCCCAGCTGCGGTTTCACCCACATGAATGCTTCGATCGAAACAGCGGGCGATTGCAACCTTTGTGGATGCATGCTTTATGTAGCCTACGCTGGCTTAAGGTCGGGTGCCGAGTAGATCAGGTTCACTAGCTCCCTTGTGTCAGCCGTTCGGGGTATGACCTGGCTGTGCTTCCGTTTCGATTCGATGGCCACAGGTCGAAGCCTATCAGCCTTGCGAGTAGTTTACTAAAGAGAAGAAGTTGAGGCGAAGCACAACATCGTATAGCTGATAACAGAAATATGGTTGAGCCGTTCTCGCTTTGTCTGTGCCTGTACTGGTACCCTTCTGAACCCTATTCCCGAAGCATCCCGAAGCCAATTCGCAGCTTCTGGAAAACTTGAACTGATCTTCGTGAAGTGTCCAAGCGTGATAATGTTTAAGCCCAGATAATTACCAACACTATTCCTTAGGGTTCCCTACTACGATAATAATACTATAGAGGAGCCAACGCCCTAATCCAATCATTCCTTTGGGTTCCTATAATAGTACTATAAAGGAGCCAGAGCTCTAATCCAATTATTCAGGCCCCTACATTCCAAGCAGGCCGTTCGACTCCTGGAGCTAAAGGGTCTGCTGACCGCGCTGCGGCCCCAGACGGGCGAAGAGCCTGAAGCTTTCAGGCGCGCGTCTTTCTGTCTGTGTGTAGGGTTTGGGGTCTAGTGTGCTAAAGTATGTATGTATTTCTGTAGGTATTCGGGCCTTACTAGGGCCGGGCTACTCGTAGCTGGACATTTGCTTCGCAGATACAGGCTTTCATCATGTTCTTCTCGTGCAAGAAGCCGTCAAGAGAGTCACGTCAGTATGTAGCCGTCGGTTTCAGAAAGCGCGGCTATGCCCACGTATGTTGATGCAGCAATGTATGCACACTGGCCTCCAGCTTGGTGTATTAACAACTGATGTGTAGTCCAGCAATATGTACTATGCATACATTGGTGTCTTTAAGTGAGTATTTATCTAGCTATGTATATATATATATATAAATACATCAATCTCATTACCAGTATCATGTGCATGATATCTACGGGTACATGTACTCACGTACATACGTACGTACGTACGTACGTACGTACGTACGTATGTACGTGTGTACATGCTTGTACATGTGCTTGGGCTACTCTGTGTGGATGCTGGTAGTACACCTGCCCACATACACCAGCCACAGCCGCACATGCGCATCTAGTTAAGTTGGTATGTAAGTACGCATGGGTGTATGTATGCATGCATGCAAAAAAGTTGTATACATGTGCATAACCAGTGACACGACTATCTTGGGGAAATTCAATGTTGTGCTGGCCAGAACTTGAACATATTCACATGTACGCCGTCTGCAGTGACACATGCGTATTAGTGTGTGTAGGTATACGTGTACATGTATTTATGCAAACATGATGACATGCACGCATGCGGACATGGGCATGCAAGCATAGTTGCATACATTCATTCGTAATTCTGTGCGTGCATGCATGCGCAGATACATAAATAAAAGCATGCATATATAGTTTTGCATGATCGTGGTACATGTATACATGTATGTGTACAGCTGGAGTCTAGGAGGCCTTGCCAGGATGCCATCCACGCAGCCAAGGGCCTAAGGGGCGTTCTCCAGCGCCATGGCAGCCCTTTGCTCCGTGGAGGAGCCTTCCTCCGTTGAGGCGGTAGAGCATCAGCTCGATGTCATCCATTCTCTTCGCAACGATGTGGAGATCTTCACGCAAAAGATGAAGACCAAGCTCAGTGCAATGGAAGGTGCCTTGCAGAAGCAGGTGGACGACCTCTCCCACACGGAGGCCGTTGCAAACGAGATGACCGAGACGTGCCTTGTCGTAGGCCCAGGGCCGTCGTTTGTTGTTTCCGACAGACCTTGTCCAGTAAGTATGTATACTAGGCAAAATTTGTTGCACACCTTGTGAGTATCACCATAAAAGAAATATAAACTTGTATGTGCGTTTAGACTGTATACAAGTATAGATTTGTATACTTATATACATATATTTGTTGTGTATATGCTATGCATACATACAGAGCACACACACACAAACAGACAGGCAGACAGACACATATGTATGTACACGTATCTTGTTCTGAGTCTTTCCAAAACCTCGCCTCATGCTGATCGAGCCCGAGTGCTAAAGATGTGTATACAAAGCACATACATACATGTGCGCTCTCAAGACGGCTAGTTTTGTGGTAATACAATGTCCATGTGTTTACTTGTTTGCCCAGTTGCTCTGCTTTCTGTATGCGAGTCTTCTGGCTTTGACCAGACATGCGTATTTCTAGCATCGGGTCAGTAGGACCAGTGGGAGAAGTGTTTGTTGGTCGCATTCTGCAGCAAATAAAATAAACTTGGCAAAAAGGAGGATCACTTCAGGCTCCTTCCGTGCGGTTTTGAAAGTCCCGTAGATGAACTCCCAACTTGCGTTTGTGATTTCGATTTTGCCGCTTTATTCCATTGGCATGCCCAAGACAATCCGAAGCTGAGGGAAGGGCGGCGTGGTCGCGCCACCAGCATAGAGGACCCGATTACGGTGGAGGAGCCTGCAGCGTGGCTTGGGCTTGGCAAGATGGCTTTCAGATTGCGTCCTCGGGGTATAAGGCTTGAGCTGACGACATGGTCATCGACGTAAAAGCCTACTGCTTTTGCTTCCAACGGAGTCTGTCCTTTCGCCGATGATGTTCATGTACCAAGAACCAGCAAAAGACCCAGGCTGACCGAGCACCGGCAGAAGAAGTTCGAGGCCAGCATCGGCTGGTGGCTGGGATTCATTTAGAAACCAGGCCATATTTTGGGGCTGCAGTGCAATCGAATTCGTTCGTGTTTTGGAGGGCAATCAGTGGGCCGTGTTGATTTGCTAGCCAGTTGATTGCTTTGTGCGCCGAGAAGACACAGGTATTGGCCGCTCGGGACTGTGAGCTCGTTGACGCAGACCACAACACTGCTTGGGAATCAGAAGGAAGTCAGACTACACAATCGGTGGATGCAGCTGTCAATGCAAACAGAGGCCGTGTCACTTGGATGCGATGAAGACTCGAGTTTGTTGTTTGCCCTGAACCGGGACAAAGTCCCAGAGCTTCTCCGAGGCTTGCACTATCCGAGTACCGGCGGATGCCTTCTCTCAAGGGTCTGAAGCATGCTCCATCCTACATGTCGGGGGGGCCGGCAGACTTACCTCTACGTTTGTTTCACCCACTAGGCAAAGCACGAGTTGTTTGGGATCTTTGCGGCTTGCTCCTACTGATCGTTGACACCATTCTTCTACCACTGTCATTGGCCTTTGGCTGGACTTCTGGCACTCAAGATGCCGGTAGCTTCATCCTGCTCTTAGACTTCATCGCCAGCGTGGTCTTCTGGACTCTCGACATCTTCATGAATTTGAACACCGCCTTTTACTCGAAAGGCGCCCTGGTCTATGACCGGAATGCGATAGTGCGGCACTATGTGAAGACTTGGCTGCTTGGCCTCAATGCGGCTTTAGCCGTCAGGGTTGCTTTGTTTCTGGACCCTCGTATTACGGGCCACGGTTTGGGATATTTATGTGGGTGCCTTGTTTTCTGACTCGCAAACTCAGGTGTGTTCTGGACGTCTGTGTGGTCGTTCTGGACTATGTCACGCTTGCAAACGTTTTGGCCGAGGATCGAGGAGCAGACCTGACGGTGCTGCGATTCGCGCGCCACCCGGACTTTTAAGGACCGGTTAGAGAACTCCGGAGCAGCTCCTAAGAATCTAAGAAGAGTATCACATCAGCGATACACACAAAGTAGTTAAGAATATAAGTAACGGCATGTCTATCTACGCTGTTGCTGAATATGTTCTTTCCGTCTGCATGTGTTTTTTTCAAAATCTACACAAGCAAACGGACAAACATACATATATACATATATACAAACCTACCCAGCAGTCTTTGTCTCGCAGTTCGACCGCAACATCTTCAATGCGAGTCTAGGATCGATGACGGATTATCGATGCCCGGACATGACGATGATGGGGCTGATTGGTTCTGTAGTGATGGGTCAGTCTTGCGAAGCCTGTGAAGCTTTGAGACATCTGAAGCCATTGCTGGGACCTGGTATCACTTGTGTCTTCCCAAAGTTCCACAACCCTGACAGGTTCTGTTGAGCTTTCTCCGAGTTCCCAAGTATCGAGAGGGTCTCAGACAAAGAGCGCTGCGAGGGTTGCACTGCAAGCAAGAGCCGATCTTTTTGGGACGCATGCTTGAAAGACCTTTAGCTCGAATCCCAGGAAGCCTGAAGCTTGCAAAAGATGGGTTCATGCATGCGTACATAGATACTGACATGTGCATGGAGGCACGCTATGTTCTGCACAGCCATAAGAGCTTATAGTCCATTTGGGATGTTCCGGCTTAGGGTCCCGGTCCCAACAATCAGCAGACCGTTTTTGTCCACCTATTTCATTCCCCTCCATTCTGCAACGAGTGTTTAGGTTTTGGAGTCCTGGCTTGGTTTAGGGGCTGTTCTTCATTGTCGAGCTTGGGCAGCCAAGGCATCATTCGAGCATTTCGCCTCGTACGCTTGCTGAAGATCGCGCGCTTTGATGCCCCTGGGGCACGAAGGTGGTAGTCGAGAAGTACTCCTTTGTGCGGAAGTATTTGCAGGGGCTTGTGTTGGATGGCTGTGTATTTTATCAAGTCTATCTGCAGCTGCAAAACATGATGTGTATGTAAGGTTATGTAAGCACCTGCGGACGCATTTATGCATTCTTGTATGCACATGTGTGTGTGTGTGTTCACGTTCACATATATAAGTACTGGAAATATGTACATACATACACAGACCTTTGCATACGCGGGTACTGTTTCTTTCAGCGGTTTTGGTCGCAGCATCTGCTCTGTCTATTCATCTATGCATATCTACTTTTTCAGTTTGTTTATTGGCATGTATGTAACCAAGGTCTTGTGTCAGATAGGGTTGGGCGGTAGATAGGGTCTTCTCTTGCACAGGGCTTTCCGCTAGCTGTTAGATCGTTTTTTGTTTTTCAGGGTCTTCTGGTAGACAAGGAGAGTGCGAGAAAGTAAGATCAGGGGGGGGGGTGATTCCAGATTCCAGCTTGCGTAGCACGTGGTGATGTTGCCATGATCTTCGATTGATCGACGTACTCCTCGAAGTGTTTGTGCTCAGGACTTGATGCAGGAGATTGCAGCCTCGACGGGCAGACAGTGGATCATGCTGGTAGTTGCCATCATCAACACAACGGTCGCCATCTTGTTGATCGCCCATGTGATGACGTGCATATGGGTTGGCGTGGGCGAATTCATTCAACGAGATGACCACTGGCTGGCACTCGCAGCCTTACCAGATGATCGTTGGTCCGAGGAACTGCATGGAGTTAGGTTAGGGTTTCAGGGTTCATTGCTTCAGTTTAGAGCAGTTGTGTTTGCAGGAAGTCGACGGTAGGTGCTGCTCTGGAACTTTCGAGAGGGTTTGCTGGAAGAGCACAAACAAAATACCAATCATGCCATCAAATTCAATGACGTCGTAGTGATACGCAATCCCCTCATGTCGAAAGCCTTCAGCCGACAGCAGTTTCGAACAGTGCTTTGCGAAAGTCGGTTTTGTTTCGCAT